GAGAGAGAGAGAGAGATTTAAATTTAAGAGAGAATTTAAATAACTATTATAAGAAATTATAAGACGGTCGTTTTTTTACCGCTTTTCTTTCCTTCCGAGTTGATTATTTGCTCTATTTAATATTATCTAATATTAAGTAACTTATGAAAAGAATGGAACATATAAAAAAGTTAATAATTGCGATCATTCTTTTCAATAGCCGGCCAGCTATGGGAAGAAAAATAATACCTGGTACACAAATCCAACGGGTGGTGGAGGCAGCAGAAGCGGCATCACTGGAACCGGAAGTGGGATTGGAGGATGGCAAAGTAGACCACCAGCGATGCCGAATCTTAGCCGGAAAGCTTCTGTCACAGAAGAAGTACCACCTCCCGGTGGTGGAAAGCCCTCTTCAGGCCGTGTCATCCGTATCGTCAACAATCATGACCACACAGTTCAGGTGAAAATCTTGGAGTTGTTACATAACTACTATATTTAAATAAATTCTTTAAAAAATTTGTTTAGATGTAAGAATCAAAATTCTTTAGTTAAAAAATTAAGTATATTTCTGTAATAAATTCTACATATCTACCGCGTTAATCTTCTAGATCTGAAAAAATTTTAGACATTTTTTAAATATCTTTAAGACATTTGTGCTGTTTGGGAATTTTTTTTTCAACAAACGGATCATTTCTTGTACAAAAATTCAAAATTTCTATACAATTACTGAAATATTACAGTATACTTATATCTAGCAAAAAATTAAATTTTTATCATGACTTACATATTTTCAAATATTGGAAACCAACTTCTCTCTCTTTGAAATATATCATTATAAGAAAGATTAAGATTTAAGAGACACTTAGAGATTGACAAGAGTGACACCTCAAGTCCGAACTGATTTTGATGACCTCACGTGGGGGAAGTAAGAAATTCTAGACAAGGATAGACTTCCTTGTCTCTCCTGTAAATGCTCTGTCCAAAATGCGAATAAGGTAAATGTACCTTTTACCAAACTGCTCCAATTACCGACCAATTTACTATTTACGCTAAAAAATAATAACCGTTAACAGTACGATTGTTAAAACAATTGATTTCGTTGCATAAAACTTCATACAATATATTTTCATGTTTATATTCTATGATAATGTAAATTAAGTAATACACTATTGCACGATCA